CCCATTGAGCATCTCTGGAGAGACCTGAAAATGGCTGTCCACCAACGTTTACCATCCAACCTGACAGCACTGGAGAGGATCTGCAAGGAGGAATGGCAGAGGATCCCCAAATGCAGGTGTGAACTTGTTGCATCATTCCCAAAAAGACTCATGGCTGTATTAGCTCAAAAGGGTGCTTCTACTAAATACTGAGCAAAGGGTCTGAATACTTATGACCATGTGATATTTCAGTTTTTCTTTTTTAATAAATCTGCAAAAATGTCAAAAATTCTGTGTTTTTCTGTCAATATGGGGTGCTGTGTGTACATTAATGAGGAAAAAAATGAACTTAAATGATTTTAGCATATGGCTGCAATATAACAAAGAGTGAAAAATTTAAGGGTGTCTGAATGCTTTCCGTACCCACTGTATATTTCTACTTTGCATTTTAAATACCCACAGGTAAGAAGAGTTTAGCCATTTATTTACACATATCTTTTCTCTACAGGAGGAGACACTTTATTTCTTTCTTCTAATCCGAGACAAAAACATGGGTCCCCAGGTCATGCCAGGCTGGGGAACCACCAAAATGCCAAGTCTATGGTGATAAGAGGAAACAGTACTATTCTGTGGCTGCAGGGACGGCTTGTAAGGTGTCTGTCCATGACCAAGGTGAGCAGCACTAAAAACAAAGTATTTTGATAAAGGAATGGCAATCTCCTCCCACAGGTCTTCAGGTTCGGTCTCAGGACAGTCATTCAGCACAGTCTCGACCACAGCATAGTTCTCGGAGCTGGACAGTGTGCAAGTGGAATAGACAACAACGCCCCCTGGACGCACGGCCGACAGCGCAGACCTGTCAACAGAAGATAAACACAGTGCTTTATGACAATAAGCTTTAAAATGGAACTCCATCAATTGTACACATCAAGGTCTGTTTACAGGTCTTAAGAAGTACTACTGCATATGTGAAACAGCTGTATAAAACCTTTTGTGGCTCCAGAGGGAGCAGCATCAGCTCTGATAAACTGCCTTGAGTGATGTCACTTGAGTCAACATCAGTTTGGAAATGTTTAAATGAAAAAAATCTGGGGGTGTGGAGTTAGATAGAGCCGAGATGTCCAGACCTTTGTAGCCTGCTCCTCACAGAGGCCTCCAGCCATAATCCTGTACACACCGTGCACACATTGTTTAAAATGACTTTGCTGAAGCTTTATACCACTGCACCTGGCAGTTACTGTACGATCAACATGTAGCATATACAAAGAAATATAGTTTAACATTTATGGTCCAAGGAGCTATCTAATGTGATCAAATCTAAATGACCATTTCACACAACCCTAGACAATTGGACAATATTAAATTGCACGTAGAGTGTCACACCAAATATTCTGAATGGGTCATAAAACTGTTGTTTCTGCTCCCACAGCATAGTAAATAATTTTACTATTTTTGATTGATTCAGCTGCAATTAGTGTTTGCTTTGACATTCACATTAAAACCTGAATAAACAAATCAATGCAAATTATCACCCACTGTTTTAAATAGTGATTAATTTAAATCCTTTTCTGTAGTGTGTTTACATAATGGTTATACCCCAGTAACCAATAACAGACATTTTAGATGCTGGGGACTGGACTTGCCTAAGCAGCTGAGCCTGGAGCACAGGCAGCTTAGCTCTTCCCCTCAGTCTCTGTTCCCCCTGCTGGCTGCTGCAAGAATACAGCCAGCTCCTGTCATTAGAACATGGAGCGTCGACTAAAACCTGCAACGGAAAATGAAATGTTAGCAGCTCAGAGTTCAAGAGTGTAATGGCAGTGAGAAAGAGAGAGAAGGGTGTAAGAGAATATACATAATGAATGTAAAAGCAGATGAAAAGACAAATGCTGAAGATATGTAAAACAAACCAAGTTATATTTCACCCACAGTACCTAAATCATCAAATTCTGGTCACTCAGGGTGAAAAAGAATCTTCACCAAACACATCTGTTTTTTATAACGCCGTGCAGAAGAGTAGGAAAAATAGAAACCGCCTCTGAAACTACAGCTCAGTATCTTACCACAAATCTCTCCTCTATGCAAATTTTACAAAGCCATATCACTGCGACAATAGAGCCCGAGTCTGTACAGTCTATTTATTCTAGGCTACAGCCTTTCACTCTTTGTTCACAGTGTTTTACTCTCAACCTTTTCATTCTGTGCTTTCCTTTTGTCAATATTTTCTTCCATTATAAGTCACTTTGAGTCCTTAATGCCTCCCAGACATTTGTCTGCATCTTTCTGGCTCCAGTTTCGAATAAACAATTTTCTTCTTTTCTGTCAGGCTTATTAGCTTCTGTTCAAAGGCCCGTTGTTCTCATTCCTTTCTAACCATGGCCTTGAAATGAAGTGTGTCACCTTAATTTGTTGGACACTGAAGACAAATTTCAGTCACATACTGCCATAAATATGACAGGAGTTCTTTGCACACCTTATCATATGTCAGTGCTTCACTGTGTCCAAAATGTCGTCCATCCTGTGCAGACACAATCACTCTGCTGTTTAGTGAGTGAGGCAGATAAGACTCCAGAGTTTTGGCCAGCCAGTCCCGTCGGTGAGGATCTGGTTCATTACAGCAGAGAAGTGCTGGAACATAACACGTGGCAGTATGTCTTATAATCAGTATTCAATGCAAACAGCCTTTTCCCAGCAGAGAGAAATGTTCCTTACAACCAGCTGAAGCAACTTGCATGCAAAATAGGCTTTTAATATTTAAAAACAAAACTTAACAACTTTTAACAAGATGTCTTTGTGAAAAGCTGCTGTTACCTAACAGGTCTATCCTAATAAAAATCATCTGGTGTGCTGTCAACATGTCTTCACTAGTACACTAAGTCATTACTCGGGATTCTTTCCCAATATATAACTAAGAATAATGGTTATTTTTTATCAATTGTACACCATATGTTGGCAAATAAACTCTATGAATTACTATTAGAAATATAAAAGGCCAATATTTAACAACTTATTGCATGGGTATAACTTCATGTATATACATGGCCCACCCTGTCGCTTCCGTAAAAAAACTGGGCTAAATCCACCAACTTCTACCTCTTTGCAAGATAAAAATAATATCAAGTATGCAAACTCCAATAAAACTGTTTACCTGGGGTGGCACACTGCATTATGGCTAAGGCTTTGCCCCCAGGGGCAGAGCAAAGATCCAAGACCTTCTCCCCATCTCTGACTTGCAAAGCCAGCACTGGAAGCAGGGAGGCAGCATTCAGGAGGTAGTACTGCTTAAGATGGCCAGGCCTGTGAGCCTGAGAGGGAAATCGCAGCGCATATGGGTGGATGTAACACTGCAGTGATGGACGGGGATGGGAGTCATCAGGAGAGCACGTGGAGATGCTGGGAGGTGACAACAGAGAATCTTTTCTTGCCTGGTATTTAGAATTAGACACTGGTGAGGGGCCATCAGAAAGCAATGTGGACACATCAGTTCGCAGCAGGAACCTGGAAAAGCCCTGTGACTGTAGGATCTGTGTGATCTCTGTCACAGCAGTGAAGCGATTAAGCATGACCCCATATTGCCAGGAGTGAGGGTCCAGGAGCACAGATCTGCAGATGAGACACGAACACACTGGTCAGACTCAGAATATCCAAAGGCGTGTGTGTAAACTGCATTAAGTATGAGACAAAATGTACCTCGCAGATTCCCACAACTCTCCAAGTTCCTGGCTGTACTGCTGGTCAAAGTGGTCCAGTACTGGCTGACATGAAGCTCTTTCTTTTTTGTGATTTTTGGATGCCTGTTACAAACAGACTGCAGTGAACATGTTATACAAAGGCACAGTAAAGCCTAAACAAGCAGGAAATTAGTTAGCAACTTACAGAGCTCCAGATCTCTGACCCAATGTACAGTATACAATGTGTTGTAGTAGGAGCAAATTTGTTTTATCAAATTTCCTTGTTTTACAAATTGCATTGAGCCTCATAATAAATCATATGAAATTATGAAAATAATTATAACTTTTATAACACTGCAGACCCCTCACACCCTGGACACAATCTGTTTGAACTCCTCCCCTCTAAACAGCGTAACAGGTCACTGTGCACCAAGACAACCAGGCACAGGGACAGTTTCTTCCCCCAGGCTGTCACTCTGATGAACACTTAACCCACGACAGTATGATTGGACAATAATCCTCAGTGCAATACCTGTAAATATACCTCATACAGATTATGTAGATTCATACAGATACTCTGTTTTTATTCCTATTTATCTCATTTCAATGAACATTCCTTTGTTTGTCTGCACTGTTTACTGTCTGTTTATACTGCTTTTTCTGCATTGTTTGCACTGTTTGTTGATGTTAATACTGCTATTTTGTTATATTACACAGCCTTATGCTGGTTCACTGTTTTGCACATTGAGAGCCGAGTCAAATTCCTCGTGTGTCCGTCACACCTGGCCAATAAATCTGATTCTGATTTTGAGTAAACAAGAGGATACTAAGCAACTCTAATTAATCAGTTAATAATTTAATGTTCTAATCCTCATGTCAGTTTAATGACCAAACCCACGGGAAGAGTTATATGTTTATTCTACTTGTAATGCAGATTTCCCCCTTTACAGTTCCTATAACTCAGTTGCTGTTTAGTGTCTTGTACATTTGCTACCCCTGGTGGATAGCTAGTGTAAAATCAGTGCTGCTAGGAATGACTGAATGGTTAAAGGGTGGAAATAGCTCCATATACACATATACACACATGCATACACATATGCATATAAAGTGAGGATGCTTTCAAAACTAATGACACAAATAGTTTTATTTATCAAGTTAACTCCATACAAAAATGCACTAAACAGGAAAGCCCTAAGTCAAACTATTATTTGGCATGGCCACCCCTTGCATTTAAAACAGCGCTACTTCTTCTTCTGTTAACAATTTTTCAAGGTACCTGGGATCAGATAAGTTGTTCCAGGCATATTGGAGAAGTTGCCACATTTCAAATGGTTTAGTGTCTAAGTCAAAGTGTTTATTATCATATGCACAGTTAGGAAACATGTTTCCCTGTGCAATGAAATTCTTACTTTGCTGTCCACATGAATGCCACATAATACAATGAAATATAAAGTAGATAAATAAGTAAAACAAAATCTAAGGTACTTTAAGCAGCAAATGCAGCAGTATAATAAAAATATATAAGAATATAAACAGAGAATGTCTTGGAATTTGTTGGTGCTGTCATAAAATTAGCGAGTGCCTTTAAAGCAGCACATCAGTGACTTAGAAAATTAGACACATCCTGGTCTTGCCCAAGCACACTTCAACACATGGACTGCCAGCACCACGATTCGAACCTTCAACCTTCTGGTTGGAAAACAGAAAACAGTCCGTGCTGGGGGTGGGTGGGGTCCGTGAGGATGGAGGCAGCTTTCCTACGCACCCTGCGGTGGAAAATGCTCTGCAGAGAGGGCAGTGGAGTCCTGGTGATCTGCTCTGCAGTCTTTACCACTCTCTGCAGGCGATTGCGATTGAAGGTGCTCACCCTCTCCACTTCAAGCCCCCAGATGAACAGTGGCTGATGAGATCTCCTCTCCTTCCTCATGTCCACTATCATCTCCTTCGTCTTGCCCGTGTTGAAGCTGAGATTATTGTCGTTGCAGCATGACACCAGACTAAGTCTAAATGTCTTCTGTCTCTTTATGCAATCCCAACTCTATGGTGTTGAGATCACAGCTCTATGGTGTTTCATAGACTAAATGATGGTGGTCAGGACTCCCTGTTCTTCTAGTTGCTGAATATACTGCAGCTGTCATGTTGCAGAATGAATGTTAGACTAATCAGAAGCCTCCTTCATGGCACTGTGTGATGGATAAGTGCCTAAAGCTTTTACACAGTCTATATCAGAGCTCCATAGACCATACAAGATCAGGAGAATAAAAATAGCAAAAATTACTTGGACCAAAAGAGCAGGTGGCTTTCGTTTTCATATAAACTGGTATTACAGACATGCAGTACATAGGCTAGCTCGGCTGTATAATATCTATTCTTTAGTCAGTAAGTATCAGCTCTAAAGTCTAAAGGTGCTTTCTCCCCCGGCTTTCAAGAACTATTGGGGTTTTATAAAGCTCAAGTCAAACACCCAGTGCTTAACTTCTGTATAAACTGTGCTGATTAACACTAGGAAGGTAATATAACATTTCTCATTTGACAGAAGCTGGCTGGTCATAAACCCAGTCTACTGCAGAACCAGTAACTTTCATGAGACAATAGCAATGCTCACCCCATAGCACCTCCTGATGTTTGTTTACCTGGTTGTTGGGGGCTCCTTTTTGCTCGTACGGTTGTAAAACAACCTCGGAACCCGTGTGACATGAGAAGAACCACCACAAAGATATCGACGTTAGTTTTTCAGTTTCACCACAAAATATCCTCCTCGCACCGTGAAGCTGATGTGCCGCAAACATTTACCTAAACATTTGGTTATATCACTTTTATTCAACACGGGGAAATGACTAACCTACACTAAAACAGGAGCTCCACACTAAAAGCTGACAAGTGCGTTCTTCAAATCTGTCCTCCCTCAACTCGAACTATGCTTCAGTTCCACTCCACAAACGGAAATATGTACCGGTATGTATATGTTGTTTTCGGTAAGAGTCGAGTTTCACATCAGATTTCTCGAAAGAGGCCATCGAGGCTAATGAAAGTTGATAAGTTAATTTGTTGCTCTGAAAAAATTAGTTGGTTGATTGATTAACAAGTAATTTGATAACTCTATAATCACTTCAGTCGTTGTGAACAAAATACTAAATATTTGATGAGTGCCATTTTTGTCACTGTAAACTGATAATTTAAGGTTTTGGGGGTTTGTTAGTCAACTTCTCAATTTTTTTTGTTTCATAGACTAAATGAATTGAAAAATATACATCAATCAATAATTAAAATTATTATTTGCCCTCCATTTTTATATCTTGCTATTTTTAGTCTACTTGAGCCCAGCAAGGCAGACATAAAATGATACTGTCAGGAGTTTTTAAACTTAGTGAGTTACACTACAAATGAAACATTTGAACACACGTTCTCATTTAATTCAGCAGAAAACAATGTCCAAAGCTTTAACTGGTAGTTTAGGCTATATGTAACAAATGATCCAAGACTCCAAGACAGTGGAAGACTTTTGTGTCCCATGATTGCACAACACAGTGCCATAGTGTCTAAATCAACATAGCCTACACAAATAACCCAAACATAAAACACAAATGTACAGACACACTCTGTGACTTACTTGAAATGTTTTACTTCTACTATTGGCTGCATGTTTGTTAACAAAACATTTGATTAAATATACACCATAATGGCAAAATCATTATGAATGATATGGGTCTGCAAAATTGCAATGTGTATCTTTTTACAGCAAATGTTTAAGTGCTTACATTGCAAACAGAATAAGGAAGGCAACCATCAGACAGAAAAGACCCATAGCTTCAGACAGAGCAAACCCCAAGATGGCGTAAGAGAAGAGCTGCTGTTTCAGCGAGGGGTTCCTGTCAACAAAGAGAGAGGAAGATGAGACAGCTGATGGTACAAAGTGTTAAAGTACAACTGCAAAGACATTTCAGTGGCAGATAAACTCAGTATCATTCAGATTTCCATCAGTACCTGGAAGACACTCATAATTCTGAACAATTCCTTAATATTTTGTTTCACCCATATTGTTTCCTTTCACATATAATTTCAAATTAATTTTTTTCTTGACCATGCAAACAAACTCCGTGCCTCCGTTAGATTTATAGCTATTTCTAAGAAACCACCATCTAATAGCAGGAACCAGAGCAATCACCAAATACTGTAATTGTTCTTTTGTCAAAACATGATATCGGAGGTAGAGCGGGTCGTTTCCTAACCGGAGGATTAGCGGTTCGATTCCCGGCTTGTCCAGTCAACATGTCGAGGTGTCCTTGAGCAAGACACTGAACCCCCAGTTGCTCCCGGTGATGTCACCGGTGTGTGAATGCATGAGTGCCTGGGAGTGCGAATGGGTGAATGGCAGAATAATGTGTGCAAGCGCTTTGAGTGTGCTGTAAAAGCATAGAAAGGTGCTATACAAGTATAAGACCATTTACCATTCTACTTAATCCTAGGAGTTTAAAGAAATTGTAGCCTGGACTGACAAGCCAGCAAACAATACCCCTCCTCCCAAAAAAATTACAAATGTGTTTAATTTATCTGGCATATCCAATAATAAGGCTACCAAACACAGTTCCAATCCCAGCTCCAGATCCAGCCACTCCTACAGTGGCAGCTCCTGCTCCAATGAACTTTGCAGCAGTGTCAATGTCTTGGCTCACGGCACTAGTGTGGAAGCGCCGCACTGTCAGCTGCTGCTGGGAGGATACAACACTCTGAGGTACCATTGAAGCAAACTGATTGACAAAAACCATGAGGTTAGTAAAAAGAGGCACTTGTGATGAACAAGGTAACTGGGATAGATAAGGAGTTTAAAGAGCCCATGGAATGCTTTTCCTTGTTTTTTTAACTTGTCTACAACTATCCTCTCCTTTTTAGTTAGAGGCTCTCAGGTTTTATCATTCTGAAATAATTACAGACTATTCAGAGTTATGATGGGTGTAAAGCTAATGTAGGGGTCCTCGAGATTAAATATTAATTTGCTGAAAATGAGCATGCATGGGCTCTTTAATGGAGGAAACACTAACTATCAGTAAACCAGTTTTAATTCCCAGCACAGACAAACCTCTACTCTCCTGGCATCTGACACTACTGCTGCTGAGAGTGGTCTGTACAGTGCCCGGGGTCCAGCACAGACCTGAAGTTAAAAACACACAAACAAGACACGTACAATTAATGATTTACCATCATGTTACACTATGGCATCTGTCTGTATAGCTTTGAATGTCAAGATGCCTTCAAGTCTGTGGTTAACCGGCCATTCAGCCTGCAGTGTTGGAATATAACTGAGTACATTTACTGACTGAATTACAAATTTGAGGTATTTTCTTCTCATGAAACTTTCTACTCCTAATTTTAGAGAGAAATACTGCCCTACTTTTTAACTCCACTACATGTGTTTGCTTTAGAAACTGTTTTATGCCCTTGCCTTGATCTCTAGGCCTCACCACAATTTCATCACAGAAGTCTATCTTTCATTGGATTTCATGGTTTGGTTTTTGTCCTGACATACAGTTACAGTTACGGGATTGACTCAAACACAATTTGTCAGTAAAAGGTTAGTCTTCACCATGAAGCAGAGATCACGCATTCACAATTAAAGTGTTTATTTCCGGTTTCCTGAGGTAACGATCACCTTTATATTATGCACACGAGGAATTTGTTTCCGGTATAAAACCAAGGTAGCCAATGGCTCTAACCATCTGGGGTAACTTAGGAGTTTAATGTCTTGCCCAAGGACACTTCGACATGTGGGTTGCCGGTGTCACAGCGGTGTTCTGTCAGATTTTGCTACCTATCAAGACGTGCTACCCACCGTTCACAAAGTGGTTAGGGTTAGGGTGATGGATTGTTAAAAAAATGTTAAAGTTAAAACCAGGACAATCCAGAGTGCACTGTGTCATTGCCGAATATGAGAAACTGTCTCAGTAGGCAGCGATCCCACCGCAATTTTTTCGGAAATTGCATTTTCTATTATACATATACTGTACTAATAAAGAGAAACTGAAAAAAGCATATCCAACGGGTTCCTTGAGTAGTAATATTGTTTTTTTTAATGCAAAAACATCTCTCACTCATCTCCACAACAAAACACACAACAGCATGTTGTTATTTTTCGAATTGCTGCAGCATTCCTGTGATCCTTTGACGTCACGATGACGTCACACCATTCTGTGGCACAGACTGGATGGAGCATGTAAACTTTTTCAGAAACCTATTTCGCATTTGAAAGCTCACCAACTTTGGAAGCTTAACTGGATACTTTAAACTATACTATACTATAAACTATACTTTATCATCAGCAAGAAACAAAAATGCTGATGCTAATGCTGAACAAGAGGCATCTACCTGTTGCTACACTCCGTAGCAAGGGCTATGAGAACATGAACAGAAATGAGAGTAAGGCCCAACTGCAACAACAAACCCAGGGTCTTAGCAGGGAGTTGTGTGATAAAGACAAGGCTCTAAGTGAGGTGCTCCTTGAAAGTCAAATCAACTGCACAAGTGTTGTAAAGACTTTAAAGATGGTCTCCAAACAAAAAATAGAAGAGCTGATCCTGAACAACCAGCGTGAACAAGATGCCATGAGAAGGAGAAATGACATTCTGCAACAACAAGTTCAGGAGCTAACTAGATCTTTGAAAGAAGCTCAGCACACCTGTAATGACTTGAAAAGTCACAATTTAATGCAGCAACAAAATTATGAAAAGCTACAGACTGAAAATGAAAACGCAAGCATGACACAGGCCTTGCAAGATGCCAGCCTGATCTTGCAAAAAATCAAAATATTTAAGCAGGAACTTGATCGTGTCACCCAACAAAATGAACCTTTTGATTTAGAAAAAATTAAACAAAACTGTCTGGATATGCAATTGGACATTTGGGACCCGAATAGGTTTCTGCAAGAATTCAAGATGTTAGAGCGCAGCCACTGCAGAACTCTTTACATTAATAAGATATTGGACAAGATTCCCCCGAAATCCAGCGTAGTGTTCCAACAAAAACAAGCAGTGGCAATGAGGAGAGCTGCACAAGAACTCAAAGAAAAGAAAGAGCAGTGTAATGATATGGTCGAAAAAATGAAATGTATGACAAAACAAAACACAGAACTCAAACAAGTGCTCCAGGAGGCCAGGAACAAAGACCACAAAGACTTCTCACAGCAGTATAATGCCAGTGTCCAAGAATATGTACATGTGTGTGATGTTTGTAATAACGTCATAGATCACAAAAGGTTTCTGCATGAGCATAACCAAGTCCTGCTGCAAAACAATGAGCTCACTAAAAAAAGTACGAATGACACTGCCAGGAGCCAGCAGAGCGGCATAAGACGCTGGCTTCCCAGGTGGTTCTCCTCACACTCCTAAAGGACATGCACATCTTAAAAAGCTTAACGATGTGCTGAAGCAACAACAACTTAAAGGCAAAAGGCAAGAAAAAAGTTTGCAAACTATACTGACGGCGGGCAGCATAGCAGTGCCAACCCGGGCATTTCTGTGTGGAGTTTGCATGTTCTCCCTGTGTCTGCGTGGGTTCTCTCCGGGTGCTCCGGCTTTCTCCCACAGTCCAAAAGACATGCAGTTTAGGTTATTGGTGACTCTAAATTGCCTCACTGTATATGCTACAATAAATGCATGTGAGCTTAACTTTATGAGATTTTCTTGTCTTTCTCTCTTACCAAAATCCCTTTTCTGTAAAAGGGTTAGAGTCAAAAAAGTAAAATTGACTTTATAGTGTAACTAAAAAAGGCAATCTGTCTTGACTGTAACAACAAAGAGTAAGCATTTTTAAACACATAAACACCGCAAAACTCACAATAAAAGAAACTAAACAAACAAAGAAAGAAACTAAGACAAATGTCTGCAGCCACAACTATCCCTTTTAATTCAGTAAAATCATTCTTGGCCTGCCCATATACAAAATACTCAAATGAGCAAAAAAAGATAAAATAAATAAATAAATCAAATTCATTAAAACATGTTCTCTCTTTATTGAAGTCTCTGGACACACTGCAAAGAGTGCAGGCAATCCTATAAATCAAATCAAATCAAATCAAATCAAATTTTATTTGTATAGTGCCAAATCACAACAAAAGTCATCTCAGGACACTTTACAAAGTAAGGTCTAGACCTTACTGTTATCAATATTATTACATAGGGAAAACCCAACAAATCCCCCTTGAGCAAGCACTTGGCGACAGTGGGGAGGAAAAACTCCCTTTAACGAAAGAAACCTCTGACAGACCCCGGCTCTTGGTGGGCGGCCTTCTGCCTCGACCGGTTGGGGTGAGTGGATAGAGGAGAGACAAAAGAAGAAAAGCAACAAGAAACAACAATCAAACACTGATCAGGTCGATGTGGCCGGTGACTGCTCGTCAGAGACGTAGAGCTCCAGGGCCAGGGCAACCTGCAGAAAGGTACAGGG